GACCCTACAGGAAGGGCCTCAGACCGCAACTTAATGCCAATTTCCTGCAACATGGCGCGTGGGACATGGATCACAGGCCGCAGCTCTTCACAGCTGATGGTTCGCTTTGTTTTCTTTGCGGGGGGACATGTCATCAATGACCCTATGCATTTTGATCTAACCCAACATCTTACACTTCCAGTCAGTCAGGCTCTGACTTTCTAGTTCCTCTCTTTCTCGAACTACCCTCTACCCAAAGCCCGTCCCCGCAAGCCCTAGACCCATCTTCGCTCTGCGCTAATCAGCCCTAAGCTAGAGCACAGAGGCGCCAAAGAGAGTCTGTTCAGCAGCTGCAGCACATGTAGATTGCAGGGCATTATGTTATCGTGCGGAAAGGGTCGGGGTTTCTGTTTAACGCCAGATCTCGGGTTCCCTAGCTTGGGGTTTCGGGCTGTCTTGGAAATCAAAGGTTTGGGAGTTGGGGTTGGGGTTTAGCAGATCCTGGATGACCACAAGTACCTTATTCCCGAGTGGAACCAGTTGGATCATGCAGGTTTTTTCTATCAACTGCAATTCTTGATTTCAAGCCTGCAGAAGCTTTACTAGTGCTGGTGCTTCCGTGTGCAGTTTTTGTGTGACGGGTGTGGAACCAGAGCTGCTTGGGGCTCCAACCAAAAAAGCACAGCCAACAACGCCAAGATCAGCTCGGGTCCTTGTAGACGCTGAAATCGATGCTGCCACACCACACCCTGAGCGTCACCCAGAAGCCTGAACTGTAAAGCACTAAAGCCGAAAAAACCAGCAGAACCCTAAAACCCTGGAAGAAGCTTCAAACTCTAAACCTAAAGCCCTAGAAGAACCTTAAAACTCCAAACCTTAAACGCCCACAAGAACCCCACCGAAACCCAACGCCCAAAGGATCGAGAAGCCTTTTAGCTTCGGGGCCCGCATGTGCCTGGGGGCGCGCGTGGCCGAGATGGAGGCCCAGATCCTGATTGCCCAGACGCCAGGCATAAGGAGATTAATTACCAGGGTTTAGGGTTTATAGGGTTTATAGGGTTTAGGGCAAGTAATCTTAGCAAATAGAAATCTAGGCAGGCCCTTGGGATATTTTTGCATTTTCCCTCTTGGGTTGAAGAGGATCATGATACTCATGAATAATTTTCAGGGGGTTCTAAGGGCCATACTAGAAACTGTTTACCCTAGACTAAACCCGACAAGAAAGACTCTAAACCCGAGACGCTACGGGCCATGAGAGTTTCAGTTGTGTCTCCCCGGCGACGGCTTGGGAGAAGTTCGTTTGGAACCCCCTTGAGTTTGTGCACCTTGGTTTGGGGTTTAGGATAAGGGCCTGTAAATGGTTTTAGGCTTTAGAGTTGGGCAAATCGAACTGCCGTCTCACCCCTAAACCAAAGCCTGTAAACCCCAAACCCTGCGCTATGCGGGAGCGGAAAAACCCTGCAAAATCCCCAAGCCCGAAATACCACCGCTAGAAAGGCTTGAAGTACTCAGACGAACCTCCAAGCGGGCAAACTTCCAAGCAGCCTAAACCCTAAATCCTAAACCCTAAACCCTGAATACAGCATTCCCTCTTCAGTTGCCCCGTGGAGCTTGGCTAGACGGGTGGCAGAACAACAAACCTAAAACCTTAAACCCACACTTGAAGTTGAGGCTCCTAGAGCTCGGAGAATCGGATCTATAGACCCGAGGAGACCTCGATGGCGCCATGACCAAACCCGATAAAACCTGCCAAAAAAATGTGTTTCAGTAGGGGTTGTGACCAGGAGTTCGGATGGTAACTCTCAACCCTAAGCCCCCTAAATGACCTGTCCCTTATACCCTAGATTCCGAAGCTCTACCTAGCTCTTAAGCCGTGTAAGTGTTGAATGTTGGAGACTTGCAGGGTTTCGGGTTCAGGGTTCAGGGTTCCTGGCTCAGACTGGCTAGTCCCCCGGCCCAGTTGCAAAAGGGTTCCTGGCTGCTTGGGTTCTTCTCAGGTTCATCGCCAAGTTCAACTTCGAAGCCGCTCCTGGGCCGGTGCCGAAGGTGATGGCAGCTTGCTTGCAGCTGGGGTTTAGGGGTGGAGGGGTTGAGGGTTGCAAGCGTCAGTGATGCTTCTGCTTCAGCGCCGGCACCTCAGACAGCCCGGAGCTGATCAGGTTGTGCATGCTGCCGCTTTTTCTGGCATTGCCCACCCAGCCCGGATGGCAAAAAGGGACTTTGCGTGTGTATGATGTGCGTGTGTGTACGTACGTACGTGTAGGTAGGTAGGCAGGCAGGTAGGTAGGTATGTATGTATGTATGTACACGATCACTTCAAGGTTTCGGAGAACCCTCCAATTTCTTCAGTTTTTGTCTCAAGGCTGCAGAACAAGCTGGACCAGCAAGGTCGACGGTGTGCTAAAGCATGGCCCTGGCGGGAGGTCCATGCTTTAGAACGTTCCCATATGCCATGTCGGCCCGGTGTAGGCTGCCCCCAAATACCCTAAACCCTAAACTCTAGAAAGGACTGCCCTTTTTAAAACCCTAAACCCTAAACCCTAAAACCTAAACCCTAAACCCTAAACCCTAAAATGGACTTCCCTACAAAAGAATCCCGAGCCGAGGAGGCCTTTCTCCTGCCGGAGAAGGTGCCCGAGGCACCGATGCCGCAGCGCAAGGTTTTGGGATGCTTTCGACACCGGAGCCTCAGAAGTCCAAGGAGAAACAAAAACAAAAAGGGTTCTTCACACGAATTTCCTGAGGAACCGCTAGAGGTGCATCGGCCAGTGATCTTGGATTGTAAACTCTGGGTTTGTTCTCGGAGACCCTCGGCCCCAGCAAGTGCAAGCTGTAGCCACGGGCCATGCGTGCACCGACCCTGAAGCGGGTAGCCAAGGGTTTCGGGTGTTCATCTATGTTTGATGAATGTCCTATGCACAATGGTAGAAGGGGCCCTTCGTCCCAAGCTGCGAAGCCCAATCCCTGAAGTTTTTCGGGTTTAGGGTTTCAGGTTCAGGGCCGGGCGTAACCTTCCAACAGCCTGCTGTCAAAGGGCTCCAAACTGAGGAGCCCCAATCCCGGAAGTTCGGGTTCAATCGCTGGGAGGTTCAGGGCTTCTAACCCTGGGGACCACGTGAACCTTAAATTTGAGAGAGAGAGAGAGAGAGAGAGAGATTACCCCATACTACTATAGTTCCTATTAATGTATATGAACCAGAAACCCTTTTAGGGTTCATCTATATCCCCCGTGGGAATTATTGTTCGTTTTTGTTTGTATAAACCCAAGAGGATATCAGAAATATTATTTTTTACTACGGTTCTAAGGGGAGCATAGTCATTTCGTCCCCAAGGAAGGCTTTTGAGCATGTTAAACATGCCCGGGGGTCGCGCTGCCAACGTGGCGGTCCTGGCAGGCCCTCACGACCCTAAACCCTACAAACCCGAAGCCCTAAACTCTAAACCCTAAGCCTTAAACCCTGGACATCTGGAGCCTTGCCTGCAGTCGAAACCCTAAACACTGAACATGAACTCCCGTAGTTCTTAGTGCCTACGGACCTCGCCTGCCTTGTGTGAGAGTGAGCGACTATACCCTAAACATTCATCACTCAGACTGACATCCCTCATCCTGCCTGGGAGTTGATCTAAGTTGTTCTTCTCATTGATACCAAAAATGGCCGCAGGATTTGGACCGACCCCTCCGTCCCCCCCCCCCCCCCCTAGAAACATTTGCCTAAACCCGAAGCTGCAGCTGAAGAGCTCCAGGTCACAGTGACACGCGTCTGAGCCCAGAGTGTTCGCGGGCTTTTGAGGTTCAGGGACTTAAGGTTTGTAGGGTTCATCATGCGGTGTTTAGGGTTTTTGTTGGATTTGTAGGGTTTCTGGGGTTTACAGAGTTTAGGGCGGCAGTGCGCGCTGTTGAATCGGCGCTGAACCTTGATCGTTCATCCGTCCTCGCTCCAGCTCATGCTCGGATTGAGTTTGCTGGTGCGGCGGCACGGGAAGCCTGTCCTCGCTCTAGCTCATGCTCGGATTGAGTTGCTAGTTCGGAGGCGCGGAAGCCTGCCAACACTGACAAAGTCATACTTTCGCAGATTCCGCTGTTTCAAAACACGAGTGTGCTGCAGCATGCTCAGATCTAGGTCGATGGTGTAGGCTTTTTCCAGGCAAGTGCATCTTTTTAAGGGCTTTGGCTTGCAGATGTCTAGCATCCTCGAACAGCGTAACGCCTACACCTGCACCGTAAGTCAAGCAGTCTTCAGGCAGGTGGGCCACTTTTCACGTTTTGCCCACGCTGCACGGCAGCAAAAACCCCAAAAACATCCCCAAGGCAGCCACCGGCCATGAGGGTCTTGCACAGGTCGCACGACTTGGAAAAGATGCGTGGGTGCGTGCGGTGGACAGGTTTCTACAGCACCCCAAACCCCAGGCTCCCTCAAAGTGCAGAGCATTTTTTGCATTGCGATGATGATTATTGTTTTTTTATCATGATCAGCATGTTTTTTCGGCTTTATGATCATTATTATCATCATCTTCATGGCTGTCAGTTTACCAACCATCCAGAACCAGAACTCGCCCGTGGAGTCTGTGGGAGTCTATAGCGTTGGGGGTGCTTAAGGATTCCATCCGCATTCCTCTGCGGCACAGCTTCCTCAAGGTGCCGCAAAAGGCCCAAACAAGGGCATGCCCTACAGTTGCTTGAAGCCTATATGCCCCAAATCTGCATGCGCGGTCCGTTCGCTCAAGGATTGGCGGTTCAAAGATGGAAACCGCCGGGTAGAAGGTGCGGAAAGTGCCAGTATGTGTGCCCCCACGAGAATGGCATCACAGCGGTTTCGTTGCGATCATGTCTACATCGATCTTCTCCCGAGGTTACTCGCAAGCCAAGATGCCTATGCGCACATGAGCGCCACGACCCTGCGATCCGACTAGATGTGGGACAGCTCAACCCCCGCCAGCAAGCCCTCCTTTGCGACCATCGGAACGCGCGCATGGCTGCAATGCGGCAGCTTGTTTCACTTCACCGGTAGCGCGCAACATTGATGATGCGGCGCCGTCGGGACTTCTCAAGAAAGGCCCCCGTACAGTTGCCCAGAAAGATGTGTTTTTACCAGGGGAGTATACAGCACAGTACACCTTCACGAAGCCGTATCGGGTGCCGGGCTCTCAGAGGGCGCAATGCTCCAGCTCTTGGTTATACTAGTACAGATAAGAGGTGCTAGTAGTAGTGCATGGGTAGTACCACTTGATCAGAGTATCATACCTCCAATTCAAGTATGCATGATTCTTGCCACTGGCCATACCCTCACTGCACAAACGCACGCGATGAGAACAATGAAGAACCTCCAGATTTGGGCCACGTGGTTGTCGGTATTGAGTCGGTATTGAGACAAGTTCGGGGTGTACAGCTTCTGAGATCCTAGAGAAAGTGGCTCCTGATACGCAGAACAGCGGAGACTCACGTTATATTGAGGGTGTTCTACAAGGGGACCATGACTTAGCTGTTCTTGAGAGTTTCGTCCGGTCTTTGGTTTCAACCCTGCGAGTTTTCGGATTTCGGGCCTGCAGTTTGACCATTGTGAAGGCATAGGAGTGGAAGTTGGCCCCCTGGATATCAAGTTTATACCCTTTCGGAACCAAAACTCCCCTGAACCCCCAACACTGAAACATCTCAACCCTAAGCTCCCAAGCCTTCAGCCCCAAACTCACAAACGCCCACATCCCTAAATTCCAAGCCCTGCCCAGTGGCGTTGCTTGGAGGCCTTCACGTCAGTCCTCGTGGCCATTGCCTTCGCTGCAAGTCAGGGCCCTGCGAGGGATTTAGGGGTTTTTAGGGAGAGGTCTTACTGGCGGGGGGGGACCTCTGCCTTATGCAGTAACCTTCAACAAAAGGGGCACCCTTGTTGTAGTATGTTTACTGGGCTACCAACAACATGCTTCGACTTTGACTTTGGGCTGGCCGATGCAGGGAAGGCTTCTCATGACTGACGGCTGGTGTCACAGGTACATGACACAGGGTTTGATATTACTGTTCTTGGTGAGTGTATATAAGGTTCCTTCTTCACATTGGTGAGTGTATCTATTGGCTGTCCTTTTGGGGATACAAGGAATGTAAGCCCTATACTTCACATGAGCACATGCTGGTTCTTTCAGACGCTGACGTTTCATGTGCTCAGCTCGCAGCGAATAAAAGCCCCAGGAGTCGCAGCTGCGCAAGAACTTGCTGTAGTTCGCACCTTCGCGAGCGAGCAAGAGGCCTCGTCTTCTTTTCCCGGATCTTTTTGTGAGTTCACGCTACTCTTGGTAGGGGTGTCGACTTGTCGCACATTTCTGGGACCCAAATTTCTGGGACATGCCCATGCTTAAGATTTGGATGGGCCACGTCATGTGAAGACTGTGAGGGAGAAGAATCTTTCATTTGAGTCTTTGCCGTGCTTGTGGTCATTGGCTCTTCACGTTCGGTCCATGGCTTCGGCGTCGTCTAACCCTCTCCGTCAGCCGTCGGCCCTAAGCGAAACCCTAATCCCCCCTCATGGAAACATTTCCCATTAGCCCCCCCCCCCCCCCAGGTCACGGGACTCACAGAAGCCATCGCGCTTGGCCCTTAGAGATTTCGGGTGCCGTGTGAAGCCTAAACCAGGCTTTGAGAGGACCCAAACTTGGCTTGGGCCTTGGGCCCAGCAGCTACGAGGGCTGGGCGGGCGATGGGGTCTGCAAAATCCTCCTGATGGTGTAGGTGTTTAGAAGGCTTACAGGACGGGAAGGCACCTGGATTGCCCGGCCCGGATTCTAGTTCGAGTTTTTTTTTTAAATGGGAAGGGTAAGCACGGAACAGTGGCCCTAGCCAGCTTGGAGAGCTGGCAGTCTACAAGCCCATACAAGTCCCAAGAGCTCCGAAGGCCTGCAACCCACCCTAAGCTCTCTAAGCACCAAAGCCCGAACCCCCAAAGCCTCCAAAGCTAGGTTCTTACACCAACCCTAAACCCTAAACCCCAAACCCCAAACCCTAAACCCTAAACCCTAAACCCTAAACCCTAAACCCAAGGCTTTGGAACGAGTTGTTGCCCTGTTCGGGGCCCACCTGGGTGCCGGTGGATCTCCTCCTTGTCTACAGCCCCGCGGTCGCGCGTTAGGGTTTCGCAGTTTAGGGTTTAGGGTTTAGGGTTTAGGGTTTAGGGTTCAGGGATTGTTGGGGAAGCCTGAGGTCTCTTATATCACTTATACTAGGTGTATGTTTGTACATATTATTCTATTTATTTTGTGTATTTCTGTACTACGATACTCTATACCGTTATACCATTTTTTCTTTTCGTAACAATTCCGGGATGGAAAGGGGCCCCCCCTCCCGTCCTCCAGGGTCTCCCGGCAAGACCCCTTGGATTCCTTGAAACCGGGAGCTTGGGATGTTCTCCATTATACTACTCCCCATTATACAAACAGTCCTTGGTAGGGATTATAGTTCCCTTATTGTAATCCCTATTCAGGACTGTTAGTTAAGGTGGAACATGCCAACTGGGAGCTTACAAGCTTACGCAATTTCAGGGGGCGAATGATGGTGGACTCAGTCAGGATATGTCAGCATGGACTTTGGGGGTTACTTTGCCCTCGCAAGCCCTAAGCCCAATTTCGTGCGCGGGCTGAAGTCAAACCTGCATTCGATATTAATTTCCGGCGACGTGACGTCTCCTCCTTAGTTCGAGCCTTATTGGAAAGACTTGCGGGCCTTTTATTCGTCAAAAAGGGGCTGCGTTGTTATAGCTGTTACAAGAGTCTTCTTTTCTGTGTTTCCCTGTATAAGTGTATCACTTTTGAGTTGCAAAGGTTCTTGCCGCACGCAATGTGTCCCCTCTACCCATGGCATATCTACGTCGAGGGAACAATGCATACAAGTACCTCGCACCCTCATCGCCTTACCCTCCCGTGCCAGGCCAGAACTTCGATCTTACACCGTCAGCGTTGCCCGGGACTTACGCGCTAGCTTGCTTTCTATGAGGTGTAGGGTTGAGGGTAAATCGGGGCTTAGGGTGCAGGCTTCATCAGTCGGCGAAGCAGCTTTCGCATGTGCAAGCTGCAAGCTGCAAAACTGCTTGTCCAGAATCCTCGACGTCCCCGACTGTAGGTGGTAACTTTTGGCTTTTGGTGTTAAGTATCAGTACAATCTTAGCCAAATAGGCAGCTGTCAGTGCACGTGTGAGCCCTAATCCTGCAGGGTGGCGGCGCAACACGGCAGAGTTTCAGGGGGGGCTGTTGGCTTTTGAGGGGGACCCGCGTGGCACTTCGATGGGTTTCGTTGGTTCTAGTTGTTGTCGTTCGGGATTGGTGGGGGGAATCTCGTGCGGGATTCGAACCTGTGGAGTGTTTGGTAGAGTTTTAAGCATACTGTATGTTGAGACTTAGGGATATCCTTAATCTACAGTAAGACTTTTGGACTTCCCCTGAGAACCCGAAGCCGCACCCAGCTCCAATCAGGGCATTGTTTACGGCTTTTTTTGCGGCACAGTCTCGCTGGGCAGGAAAGGAAAAGGTTTCTGTTCTCCCGCATGTAGGGTGTAGGGGTGTCAAGGGTACTCAAACCCAACTTTGATGCCCCCGAACTCGGCATCCAATATCTCAACTGCCTTCACTGCCACCTTTAAAGTAGCCTCCGAACAAGCTGCAGACCCTTAAAGCCCCGACGCGGCCAACAAATCAGACCTGCCGAAAATAGCGGTCGGAATACTTACTAATTGTCTTCCCTTAGGACTTATACTATAATAACCCCTCAAAACCCCTATTCTAATTATTAAGCCCATATCCGGGGCTTAGCTCAGAGCCTTTTCGAGGGTGGCCTGCCTTTGCAGCTTCACAAAAGGCGCTGCGGCCAAAAGTCGCCATACATCCTTGGTCTGTAGCCTTCCCCCGCCTAGGGCTTAGGGTTAAGGGGTTATAGGGTTTAGGGAGTCTTGCAGCCCCCGCAGCACAGGAAAGAAGTTCAGTCGAGTTTTGAAAATGGCACTGCCTGGGCTCCATGCTTTCGCAGCGTGCTCCTTGCCACAGTTTTGCGAACGTGTGCCTCTTTGAAGGGGGGGAGGGGGGGGAGGGGGGGGAGAGGGGGGGAGAGCGGGGGGGGGGGTCTGGAAGCACTTTTGCAGTAGCAGGCTTAAGGTTTAGGGGGCAGGGTCCAAACCCGGGTTTGGGAGTTTCAAGGCAGGGTTTCCAGCATGAGGCCTCGCACAATGGTGTCCATAGGAATTCGGGGCAGCAAATCTTAAGGAGGCCCTCAGGGTTGTGCTTGAGGGGTTGGAGTTGATCCATGTTAACCCAAAGTTGTCAACCCTCAACCTGACTTCGGGTCCTTCGCCGGCCTGTGGTTGGTCCTCTGAAAGGGTCTGTCGCACCACGTGGCCCTTCAAGGATATCTGCTCAGCTAGAACAGGGGCGATAGTAAGTAAGGCTCCCCTCGCCAGAGCCATATATACTTCCCGGTACTTCTATCTGCGGCCGCTGTGGGCTTGGTACTGCTAAGCAGGAGCTCCCAAACCCTGGACCTCGTCCCTATCAAAAACACCCCCAGCGGCAACACTAAGCTGCCCTAAACCCCTAAAAAACCCAAAAACCTTAAACCCTAAACCCAAGAATCCTAAACCCTAAACCCTAAACCCCTGAAAGGTTCATCGAGTCCGCTAACTTGCAACTTGGCGCGGGGGGGGGGGGGGGGGGGGGGGGGGGGGGGGGGGGGGGGGGGGGGGGCTCGTTCAGGCTGATGTGGTAACACACACGGGTTTAGGGCTGTCTAGGGTCTCGTAGATTTAGAGTTAAGGCTTGCGCGGTAGGTACGGCTATATACTGTAAGGTTTGGAGTTTGAAGGGTTGCATACAGATCATATACTCAATGTGTTCGGGGTTCACAGGGTGCATGGAGCTCTTCTGCCGGGCGAGGGCACAAGTGGAAGGACAACGTACGGCTGCCAGAGGCCGACCAGTATAGGATGATTGCCAAGTTTCGTAAGCAAATGAGGGCACACCAGGACGGGCTATTTTACCCAAATAACCTCTTAAAACGGCCCTTTATAGGGTTTATTGTGGGCATGATAACTGATAGGGCTCTAATCGCCCATCCTAGAAGGGCCAGGCAGTGAAGTTCCGCGGTGTTTTCTCCTTAGCGGCGTGTTTGGGACCATGAAGTCGAAGTCCCTCAAGGCATATGAACCCTCAGCCCCAGAAGACCCTAGACAACTCGAAGCACCCCTGGCATCCTGACAAACGCAAGGACAACCAAATGACAACTCAAAACCAACTGGAAAGCCCGGAGCACCCCCCAGCTTCCTAGGTCTGCTACTGAGGATGTTTATGACAACCGAGGCCTGCAGATGGGAAATCCGAGGGGGTCATGTTTATGGCTTATAGGCTGATTAGGGACCCTCGGGTTACATGCCCAGGTAGGTCCTTGGGATATTTTAGATTTTCCCTTGTTGGGTTTCAGAAGAACATATTTGTGAATGTTTTTCAGGGTGTTGAAAGGCCATCATAGGAGGTAGTGAGAGGGAGGTGTGCAGGTTTTTGCTCGGAGCCCCTGTTCATCCTGCATGGATCCTGCCAGGCTACGCGATACGCAAGGATTGGGTGAATGGACTCTTGTCGGATCAGACCAACACTTTTCGATTGAATTCTTCTTGGGGCCTGGCGCGAGACCCTAGTCCTTGCCCCCGACTTGACAGTTCATGCACGCGTCGACATCAGTGATATAGGCAAGGTAAGGGTAAAGGGCCCTAACAGGGCTTCACCTGGTTAGAATTCGTATTGTCCCACCTACACACCCCCACGCCCCCAGTTGTTACAGTATTAACTGCTGTTCAGATTTTGCAGTATGGGGTTTACGTCGGGTATGCTGAGACACTGGCTTTCTGGCAGGGCTTCAGTTTGCTTCTCCGCGCTTGGATTCGTTCGTCACACGACCCTCCAGGGTAAGCTGTAAGGCTATCGGCCCTGAGCCGCAAAACAAACCCTGAAACTTGCCCAATTTGGGCACCAAGCCCTGCATTCAGAGGGTTGCAAACGCACGCTGCTTCCGGCTGGTGATGGCTATATTGGGCCTTAAGAACCCTAAACATCCATAAACCCTACTTGTACGACTTAGTCATACCACCCCCCTTTTTCCAACAAACATCTCAGGTCCAAATAGCGTCTTTCGGTTCATCCTGGGCATCTTGGGCTTCGTTGAGACGCGGGGGGGTCGGGGGACGGAAGGGGGGGAGGGGGGAGGTGGGCCCGAGCGGTTGAGTGAGGACTGTTCCCCCTTACACTAACTGCTCCTTATTCGGGATGCGAGAAACCCCGTATTAGAATCCCTATGAAGGACTGTTAACATAAGGGGGAGCATCCCAAGTTGGGGGTTTAGAGCTTAGGGGTTTCGAGGCTTACAGGGTTCAAAAAACCCATGTGCTGGCTGCAGGAGATGGGACAAGAGGTTGTCTTTATGGGTGTCTTGTTTTGCTGTGGGGTGGTCCGAAAATAATTCGGAGCCTTATACTTATCGGGCGCGCGAAAGGGGACCATCACTTTCAACTGGCCAGTTCACGTGGCGACCCTATTGCCCAGTTGGGGTGTATGGGCAGATCTACTAACCGCCCTTAGTCGGGATTCTAGTACCCCCCTTATGAGAATCCCTGTTAAGGACTGTTAGTGTAAGGGGGAACATCCCAAGGTTTAGGGCCACATCAAATGGGCATTTCCCAAAATCGGGTGTGCCCCTTTTATACCCCAAATATTTGGAGGCCCCTTTCAGAAAAGCCCCCTAAAACCCTAAACCCTAAGCCCTCTAAACCCCAAACCCCCTCCCCCCCCATGGTCGGAAACGGTTAAGTGCCCTTCAGCTCAGGGAGCTTCTTCAATGGGACCTTTCCGGCGACCTATGACTCCTTTTATTTTATGGCAGCTTGGCCTGGCTGAAGGCCCTCCTTAAAGGGTCTTAGGGTTTAGGGTTTAGGGTTTAGGGCTTCTGCTAAATCCTACCTGGTAGCCCGGTGGTACCCTTTTCCCTTTTTTTGGCTCTGGGTTCCCATATAAAGTAGCCAACCCAACAAAGGGCACCCTTGTTGTAATATGGTTGCTGGGCTACCACGCCTACTGCCAGAGGAAAACCCCGTACTTTCAATGACACAGACATGATAAAGGTAGGTTTCCTTTTGGCATCCGGTTTTGAAGTTGGGCTTCAAGGTTCAAGGTAGCTAGTCGACCCCAAGCCGATCATGCAACCCAAGTGAGATTGGTAGTGCTCCCCCCTGTCCCCCCCCCAAACAAAAATAAAAGGCCAAAGGCAGCTAGCCTTTACTGGTTCATGAAGTTTTAATGGCCCTATAGTCCCGATATTATCCTATCACCCCATAGAGAAATAGGCCTCCGGTTCTGAGGAAATCGATGCAGTTCCAGTCCGCCCTTTCTGGCTCGATCAGTTCATCGCGGAGGTGTGGCGTTGAGGGCCGGGTGCTTCCGAACCGAAAGCCAACCCTCCTCTCCTCCCCACCCCTCCCCTCCCCTTTCCTCCACCCCCCCCCCCCTCCCGGCTCATCCCGGCTCCCTCCCTTCGTTTCAAAAGGGGCATGAGCCGTGACGCAGCCGACAAATGTGTCTGAAAGGTGTTCCCCCCGAAATATGGGAAGTGTTGAGGATGTCGATGTCGAACTCCAAGTCCCATGGGTACAGCCTCTGATGCCTGAGGCGACGATTTATCCTCGAGCCGCCATCCGGGGTAGCCGGTACAGAGGCCTGTTACGTAAGGGTATCAAGGGTGCAGGGGACAGAAATAGCCAGGGTGGGGAACCTGGGGCCTGGAGGGTGCTTCGGAATTTCAGATTCAGGTTTGGAATTTATTGTTTACTGTTTTGGTTGTTCTTCTTTATGTTTTTGTTTGGGTGGGCTCGCAGCCTGAGTTCCCAACTATCCCATCGACAGGGCAATCCTGCATCACTTCGTTTTTGTATTGCCGTATCGAAGTCCAGAAAGGATCAGCAACGGCGTGCGCGCGAATCACTCGAATCCTGCATCGCCCACACCCGCAACATTGAAACTAAGGGGACAAAGGCGCTGTGGTAATTGCCGCTTTCTCATACCAGGGGTCATGCACGATTTCGTCCGCACACTGCCGAGGAATCTGATTCCTCAGCCCCAAGTGAAGGTACCGCAAAAATAGCCCGAGCAGCCTTTCGGACGTGCCCAGCTCTGCAGCCCTCTAGCCTCGTTTTGACGGCTTTAGTGCGAGTTGTGATGTTCCCCTTGTTTCTAGTAGTCCTTAAATAGGGATTATCGTAGGGGGTACTACAACCCCTATTAAGGAGCTGTTAGTATAAGAGGGACATCCCAGCGTTCAGAGTCATGACAGGTGCCTTTTTTTGTGTGTCCGGAGTCCAGAGCCTCTGCTGAGGTGACTCCTGGGACAGCTTTCAGACGTTCCTTCCCGACGACCTCCTCCTACACATCAATGGGAATGCCCCTTCCATGGCACAGGGCTTTAATAATCTTTGTGTTTTGGCATGTTCACCCACATACCAAGAACTCCTGAATAGGGATTCAAATTCTAGTATCCCTCTATTTGAATCCATATTAGGTTAAGGAGCTGATAGCATACGGGGGGAACAGCCCAGTCCTTCATGGCCTTGGGATGAGGGTTTTTTGGTACGGGGACGAGAGATCAACCTGGGGCTCGAGCCGAACATCGTCTGGCATGCCATTGTGGGCTTCACTCCGGGTGGCTTAGTTGTGTGGCACGTGGGACTCCTATACAGCGGAAGCATGCATGGTCTTTTGGCCCCAGTGGAGCCCCGCAGGTCCGTTTTTTCAGTTTGGGGAGTCTCAAGGCCGGACCTATTTCCCAGACCTCCGCAACCCTTCCTTTATCAGTACAACATGACAATGATATAGTATAACCGAATGATCTATGTATTATAACAGAATAATTTTAATCAGCTATATACTATAACAGAAGAATCAGTTAGTGATAGAGTTCCATATTAGTGCAAGAAGACTCTATGCTCTTCAAGAAGCCAAAGGCCATCTACAATTTGCGGCATCCTTGGCTCCGCTGGCTTTATGAGCAACTGGAGGAGGAGCAGTCCACCGAACCTTGGAGCGGAATCACGTGGGCTTAGGGTGCTGGGTTTTCAAAAGGGTGTATGGAGAGGGGGTGCGAGAGAGAGAGAGAGAGAGCTTTTTGGTGCGTGCGTGCACCCTTCAAGCCCCGAAGAAGAAGAAGAAGAAGAAGAAGAAGAAGAAGAAGAAGAAGAAGAAGAAGAAGAAGAAGAAGAAGAAGAAGAAGTTTTTTCGGTGCACTCGGGGAGAGACCGGCGTAGTCCCCAAAGACACAGTGCACAGGAATTCGAATCAATCCTGAATCGGGGGGAGATGAGAATCCAACTGTGTGGAGAGCGTGTAAGTTTCACTCCGACGAGACCGCTGGAGCACGCCCCCAAGGGCGGCCCCCTTCAAGCAACCGCCATGGGGGCTCGGTTTGCTGGGGGGCTGGGCTTCGAGTCGCTCAGCCTCCTGTTCAGAGTTTCTGCGGTTCTTTGCCAGCGGGTGGCTGAGCACGGAGCGCGCTTTCAGGGCACAGTAGCCATTGCGCAAAACAAGGTTGTGGAGTTGCCACGGGCCCCCCTCTAAAAGGTTTGAGGAAGCCGGCCGCTACTGCAACGCCAATATCTTCATATAATTACTTGACCCAAGAGTAACCTACGAAGCCTGCGCTTGGTTTAGCAAAAATGTAAACCCTAAACCCTAAACCCCAAAGTAAAAAACAGAAGCGCGTCCTCATCGGAAAGCTGATGCTTGAGGAATTCAACGCCATCGCCTTCGATCTGCGAATGGCGAACCTTTCACTAGAGGGTCGAGAAGGCGGTTCAGGGCATCAGTGGCTTTGTTCCACAGTAGTTCATTGTCAGATTATTATTGTGTTTTTGTGCTCAAAAAATTATTGTATCATTATGCTGTCTGCTATGAGATTCTTACATTATATTCTTATAAGAATGTTTGAATTAAAAATACTAGAGAAGTCTATTTGCAGCATTCTACCAATATGTCCTTCCAATACTATGCTATTATGTTATTATGTTGTGATATTATTGTCTTATTGTGTTTTTTTGCTATATTATTTTCCTCTTTTGTTCTTACTCTATTGTTATCTTGTTGTTTTGCTTTCAGCCAGGGTAAGGTCGTGAAGAGTTGGAAGTTGACAGTTTGGGACCAAAGTCCCCTGAGCCCTGGGTTGATCCCAAGGAAGACGTAACGTGTCCGCAATGGAGCGACATGACCCATTCTCCTTCACATTCTTATATTAATATATTTATGTAGCTATATTACTGTATGTGTAATTCTATTCGAACTTGCCATATCAGTATGTCATTATGAGTCCAATGAAGTCACTCAGTATGATGATGGGCAGCCATGAGCCTAAAGAGCTGCGAGGCATGGGAGACCCTGAGCCGAGAACCCTAAACCCCGGGCAGGTCCCAATTCTAGCGCTGCGGCGGTGGCTTGGGCAGAGCATGTGCCCAGCGACGAGGACGGCCACTGATGAGTGTCCGTCTAGGGGCTCTGGTCTTTGGGCTTGAGGCTTAGGAGGGTTTAGGTTGCGAGTGGTCTACTTCCACCGGCGCCCATGCGTCCTTCGTTTACGAAGGGCCTCAAATCGGCGTCAAAAAAGGGTTGCGATCCTTCATGCCTGCCCCGGTCGAACCCTAAGCCTAAACCAGATAACTCGCCCTAAGCCTAAACCCTAAACCCTTGGTGCCTACCAGGATGCCTATCGACCGGACTCATTGCTAGTCGGACCCTGGGCACGCAGCACTTGGAGGTTCATGGGTTTAGGGTTCCGGGTTCGCAGTTCCCTGGCTCAAAAAGACAACGGTTTAGGGTTCAAATCAGGGTCCCCTAGAAAAGGGTTTAGGGACTGCATAGGGGGTGACTGTGACCATCCTTATTAGAGGGTATGTGGTTCGTATGTCTGACCTTCCCTAGAACGACCCCTCCACCCTGTGAGCCTTAGACGGCAGTCTTAGCCGATGGAACTTGTGAGGCGGAGCTGAATCGAAGTTTGCGGCCTTTTCGGATTTCGCTTGAGGGTTGGCCGCCAATGCCTGATGCCCTCCAAACCCAAGACCCCTTGCCGGGAGCGAACAATAACTACCCCCCCCCCCGCCCTATCCCCAACCCCCCCTCTCCATACACGCAGAAGCCCTCGGTTGCTCTAAGCCCAAGAGTCCTTCAGAGCTGGAGCCTCCTAGGCAATCGTTTTTTCTCGTGTAGACAAGGCAACTTTGCCAACACCTTGCTCAACTCCAGCCTCTCGGCCATTTCTAGGGCTTAGGGGAGAGGCAAGGGCGCAGGGTTTGCAGTTGCTTCAAGGAAAACCCAGAACCCTCCAGTCCTTGATTTTGCAGTAAAGAATCCTGCGTTTCCATTAGAATTTTCCTCTGCATGTTAACAGAAGACGGTCAGTTTTATCAAGCCGGGGCCAGGGAGTGCAAGGCTTGAGGTCCTGCGAGGGAAGCCCCTGGGCGAAACCTGACCCACGTCAACAACTGCAAGCAACAACAGCGCACACAGAACAATCACAAAAACACTCCACCCAGAGAAGCTGACGGGTCGGGTCGCAGAGCTCAGCGGGTACTTGGAATGCTGCCGTTGCACACTTCGTCTTGGCCAAGAATAGGTCTACCCCTCGAGCTCATTCATGGCTTGCGCCGCAGGATTCCTGGACCCTTCCTCAACCTGGACCCTTAACCCTAAACCCTAAACCCTAGGCCCTAGGCCCTAGACCCTGAACACGAAAGCCCTGAGAAAAACCTCTAGCAAACCTAGCCAGAGGAGCCTCTGAGCCTTGGCATGTGAGGCTTTGATGCTGGGGTCTACGTCCGGCACGGTGCCACGTCCAACATCTTCGAGAACTTGAACGACTCGCAGGTGAGGGTTTGGAGAGTTGAGGGTGCCAAGGGCTCCCGGGGGGCTTTGGACTTCGGGACTTAGAGCGTCGAACTTCGCAACTTGGGGTCCATGGATGTCTGCGTTGATTCAGTTCACGGCTGAATCGGGCTCTGAGCCTTTACCTGGGCTTAGACCTCAGTTATGGTCTCCCTAAAGGGTCCCACAACTTTGGAGGTATCCCTGGTCGCTATCAGCTTCGATGGGTCCAGTGGCGTCTTCGACCGCTTCAACCAAAGCCTCAGCGTGTACCATCCCTTTAGGCAGCGGGGGGAGGGATGCCATGCCTTTCGAATCGAGGGGCTGCCTCCTGTTTCCGAAATGGGGGTTTGCGAACTTAGGGGGTTCGTATAAGAAGGCTTATACTCTTTCGGGGGTGCATGAAGGGTACCCCTACTTGGGGAAATACCCAGACATGTGCAGAGAAGTCAGATGTTTCTCTTCGATGCTGCGAACGTGGGGCAGGACGGACCAGAAGCTGAGCCCAAAGGCAACCCACCAACCCGAAGCCTAAACCGTAAACCCCCACAAATGCCTGCAGGGACCGGCCCTGAACCTCGATCCTACCCGCTTAACCCTAAACCCTGAGGCCCTGAGAGATTGCTTCTGAAGCCCTGAACTTTCAACCCTGGTGCTCATGCGCAGGAAGGTCCTGGTCATCTCCTACGGGCCTCAGCGAGTAGCGCCAGCCGGCACCACTCAGGCATTGTTGCCTCGGGGACTTGTTGGGGTGTGTAAGGTTTAGGGCGTTTTGGCAAGAGGATAGCAAAACCTTGGCATCTTGTCATCAAGATTCGAATTCAAGATGTGCGTGCCTGGGGCCTCAGGGTTTTCAGTTGCATGCCACCCCCTGAGTCGAATGTCAGTCCCATGTCCCACTCTTCCTTGCAGCAGAGAGCGGTTAAGCTTCTGGAACCCTGCAACCCTTTTGCCATGCTTGCCGCGAGCGTGAGTGTCGAAATGCCTTATAAGCCCTTAGTCCTTTGACCTTTGTAAGCTTTAACACCCTCAGACCTTGAAGCCCCCACATCTCTTAAGACCGTGTCGGGTTTAGGGTTGAGGGTTAAGGTTTAGGGTCTCGAGGCTTTACGGTTCAGAACCTAACGAGCGCGCGATAAGCCAGGTGGTGTCTGGTGAGGCTGGTGAGTCGGAGATCACCTTCCACACGGACTCTTGCCGTTTAGGGTTCAGGGTTTAGGGTTTCTGGGTTTGGGGCTAAGGATGATTTGGGATCAGGGTTAAGACTATTTGGGCTTTGCGGTTTATCGGGCCTGGTCTTCGCTTTTGAGGCGTCTTGAGCTCGACAAAGGGTATAGCTCGGAGCCGCTTGGACACGCGATCCTCCCGTCTTCCTAGGCACTAGAAACGGGATCCACATGTAACTTAGGGTTAAAGCCTGTGTTGGGTTCTCTGGGTTTAGGTTGAGCAGACGCTTCATCTGCTGCAAGTTGATGTTTGCCACTTTCTGGCCAAAAGATCGCTAAACCCTTTTAGCCCCGAAACCCGAAATTCTCGCCAGCCGAGGGCAAGAAGAGGCAGTACAAGGCGCCTCCTGCCCTGTCTGGGGCTGCTAGGAGTTGGTACCCTTTTGTCCTTTCTTTTGGTTCAAGGTTGGGTACCTAAAAAGGATACCCGTAATATACTATGGTTCCTGGGCTACCAGGAGTTAGGCTTTTGATGTGCCCAAGCCCAACAAAGAAATACCTAGGCGTGGATCGCTCTTGGACAAACCGTGGTCTGTTGATAACCTGTGGTCTGGGTGGCTGTCTCCCTCGACCCCAGCTACCTAGCTCTTGGTTCTTTCAGCCAAGAGAACCTGTACACCCCAAACCCCATAAGCCCTAACCCGTAGTTCTGTCATCCCAGTATGGCTGTTCTTCTGGGCGGGCTGCACCAAATGCGAAACCCCAAAACACAAAAACACCAAAACCCCAAACCCTAAAACCCTAATTAGGTGTACCAAAAAACTCCAAAAGCCCTAAAAACCTGGGAAAACAAACACACACACACACACACACACACACACCCACCCACACACCCACACACCCACACACCCACACACCCACACACCCACACACCCACACACCCACGCACCCACACACCCACACACCCACACACCCACACAACCACACAACCACACAACCACACAACCACACAACCACACAACCACACAACCACACAACCACACAACCACACAACCACACAACCACACAACCACACAACCACACAACCACACAACCACACAACCACACAACCACACAACCACATAACCACACAACCACACAACCACACAACCACACAACCACACAACCACACAACCACACAACCACACAACCACACAACCACACAACCACACAACCACACAACCACACAACCACACAACCACACAACCACACAACCACACAACCACACAACCACACAGCCACACAACCACACAACCACACAACCACACAACCACACAACCACACAACCACACAACCACACAACCACACAACCACACAACCACACAACCACACAACCACACAACCACACAACCACACCACCACACAACCACACAACCACACAACCACACAACCACACAACCACACAACCACACAACCACACAACCACACAACCACACAACCACACAACCACACAACCACACAACCACACAACCACACAACCACACAACCACACAACCACACAACCACACAACCACGCAACCACACAACCACACAACCACGCAACCACACAACCACGCAACCACACAACCACACAACCACGCAACCACGCAACCACACAACCACACAACCACACAACCACACAACCACACAACCACACAACCACACAACCACACAACCACACAACCACACAACCACACAACCACACACCCACACAACCACACAACCACACAACCACACAACCACA